ATATTTGTATCATGTGTCAATATCGGAGAGGTTATTAATTGTGATTTAAATAGTAGATTCATGTTGAAGAACACAATTCACAAGCAAGCTAGCTAGCATTCCTTTTGTCTCCCGCAACATGGTTGAATGAGCAGTGGCACAGATTAACATGTTTGTGTATCAATACATTCACAATCTACACAGATATGATCACATGCTCATTTATTTCTAAAATACATGTCAGCATTAATAATATTAAGATTAATACAATAACACAAAAAATAATAATTAATGACATACATAAGGATCCAGCATCAATATTACTCTCATTTTCCTTACTTAATCGATTGATGACAAATGGAATAATTATAATTTAGAGATAGTAGCAAAGTTAACCAAAATATGAAATATTATCATCACTTGAAATTCTGGTATAGTTGTTGGGATCCCTCTGCTGATAATATATGGAAGAAGAGGAATTGGAACTTGTAAGAGGAAGAGGAGGAGGAGGCGGCGGCGGCGGTGGAGCAGCGATTGAAACAGCAACAGAATTAGAAGGAAGCATTGGAACATGATGAGATGAAGCGGGTAGCATATTCATATTCATATTCATATTATTCATGTTATTCATGTTGATGTTAGCTGCTTCTCTTAATTTGTATTTAAGTATTTCACCTCTTAATACATTGAGTTCACTTTGTAAAGATTGAACCTGTTGTTGCAGTGCAGAAATTGCACCCATGCATCCATAAACTGGATCTCTTAGTCTCACATTTGCTTCATAAACAAGACTATTTGCTGCATCTGCTCTAGAACATTCTGCTACCTCCTATAAAAACATGTACACATCAATCATCATCATCAACTATATAGATTTTCTAGTTATAATTATATATGTGTTTAATTAGTATTTACCATTAGCATCTTGGAGACATTGCTGGCACCAAAAACTTTGTGAACAGAAGCAAATTTCTGAGGTTCATGAGGGGAGAAATATGGAGAAAAAGGACATTCTTGAGCACATCTTCTTCTTAAAAGCTTACATGCTGCACAAGGTGTTATAGTATTTAGGGTTCCTGGTGGACCTAACATATGTCTTCTTCCCATCTGAGGAGAAGAATTTGAAACATGTTGATGATGATGATGATCTCCTTCCCTTTTAATCTTCTTTCCTATCTCATCAAATCTCTCCCTACCATCAAATTTAATTTTTATATATCAAGTCATTCACAAACAAATTAAGACTAAAAAAGAAGATAGCTAAGAGTTAAAAGAGATTTTGTGTGTTACCTTTCTCTGGACATTCAGGCATGCCCTCTATGAGTATGAAGCAGGAGTCACTTATTATGGAGAGAAAAGAGAGTAAGAAAGAGAGAGTTTCTTGCTAGAGAGTCACACAAGGGAAGCAGAAGAAACAAGAAAAAGAAAGAAAGAAAAATAGAGGTAGAAAATAAGTGTACTTAAAAGGCAAGGTATATACAAAGGATATAAAAGTCCATGCACCTACATTTTTTAATGTAAAAAGAAATATTGACAGAGAGAAATACTGGAAAGAAAGCGTGTGAGAAATTTTAAAGTGATATGATATGTGAGAAAAAAAAAAGACAATTGTTTTTTTAGTTTGTTTTGAACTTTCTGGTTTATCACATGTACGAGGATTTCATATTATTGACTATATTATGAAATTAACCTAATAGCTATATAATAACTTTATATGAACAAAAAGTATATATAGTTCATAGAGAATATATAATATATCATTGTTTGTATAAAAGCCAGCTCAATGAATGGTTACTCACGTGTGAGTTCTTAAATGTGTTTGACTTTAGCCATGCATGTGGTTCTTGCTTCTCATTGAGGTATCTAGAGGACAGGTCTACAATTTTTGCAGTCTCTATACTTATAAACTTTATTATTATTATTACCAATAAATTGAGTATGTTTGTGTTATTATTGTTTATTCTTATTAGTTTCTTTAAGTTGATAATTTTGAAGTTGCTTAGAAACTTTAAAGCCAGGTGATTAGTATAATGTTACTGCAACAAGGAAAAAGATTGGACATGTTATACGATAAGTTGATAAATATTTGGAAAGAAAATGACTTTTGTTAATAGTGTGATGGATTATAGAGGTATGGTGATAAAGGACATTTTACCAAAGCTATGATCATGTGTAAAAAATCATTTTCACAATTAAGAATCTAACACATGATTTCAGCAACTCTCTAAATTTCACTCCTTATAAATATATGATGATTAAGACATTTAACTGTCTAGTTCACACAAATATTCCACCTTGAACTACACCTTAACTTAATACAAAGAAACCAAAAAGAACCTTTCAATCTCACACATACATAATTATATATATATCATGATGATGATGATGTAAAGTCTAGAATCATTCATTCTATATGTTGAGATCATGTGTGATGGAAGAGATCCACGTGGAAGTAATTAAAATTGTACTTTATCAATGGAAAGAACCTAAACTAGATTATGCAGAGATTAGTACATTTCAAATCAAGTTGGCACTGATAATTGTCATTATATATATAATAATCTCAGTTAATCAGTTTTGTTGGAGTTTTTAAAAGTGTTGTATCAAAGTGGGTGGTGAAAGAGAGGGGAATAGAAGAGTGTATTGTATATTAATTATTAATAATGAATGAAATATGATTATGTATACTTATATACAAAATATAAAAGAGAATGCTTAGAGTGTAAGGAAGTGGCACCATCCATTCTTGTTTGACCCGTAATTTGAGCCATACAAATCGCTGCCAACCCAACTTCACAATACTTAAAAACTCCATCTTATACTAATTATATATCTATATATATATATGAGGGCACCAAAACCCAGAAAGAATCCACCACCACCACCATTTCTACTACATTATCAGGTTTGGCCAATTTGTGCAGCATTGGTTGGTTATGGAAATCACATACTCCTCTATTATGAAAAAGAATTTTTTTATATATATACATCCGTTACACCGACACTTCTAACTAAGACTTTTCTGATATTCGACAAATATCATCTTAGAATTTAGAGTTGGTCTGATCTAATCTCATAAAAACTAATTATAAAATATGTTGAGATCATATCTTATGAGATATAGGAATCTTAACATACACTCTCATGCTCTTGAATTTGGTATAGATTCAAAAAGATACAACTACCAAAAGATAAAATAGTTTATGTTGCAAACATTATTAGTAGTCAAGCTGACACCTATTCTGAAACCTGGAATGTGGATTCTCTCAACACACAAATGAAATAAGACATATGTTTCAAGATTCGGTACTTAAGCCTCGTGGCTCTAGTGGTTGTGAAGGGAAATCAGAAGGGTAAAATCATCACTATATGAATTATTGGTAACTTTTTCTTTCCCCTTACTTCTGATATAATTGTTTTATACTCATCAGTAACAAGTTTGATTCTAAAGCATACAAATGTATCATATTTGGATACAGTGAACACTCAAAAGGCTATAAGAGTATACAACAATGGGACTAACATTGTTGATGAATCAATTCATGTTAAGTTTGATGATAAACTTGATTCTGAAAAGTCAAAGTTAGTTGACAAGTATGCAAATTTGAAGATTAGCTATTCCGACTACGAGAAAAGAGCTTCTGGAAGTATTCTACAAAAGAGCAAATAGTCAGAACCAGGAAATTTCTAACACATTAGCATCTATGAAAAACCTCTCATTTCGATGATGTGATTATGGGTGAAAAAACAGAACTAATACAAACCAGATCCTCATTCAGACAAAATAAATAAACACCTCTAGGATTGAAATACAGAAGCACCTACTTGCTTCTGGAGAAGGACGAGGTAAGAAAAGATATGCTAGAATGTCCTAAGTCAAAATTCCTATGTGACTTTCTGTCTTCGGCACTTTGGGTTGAAAATTAATGGTAAAAGTAAGCGGGCTTTGTGTGGCTCTAAAGTAAGATGGGTGTCTTACATTAAGTCATCCTACCGTTTGAAGTAACCTTTTGGGAAGTGTTTGTTTTTTGGGTATAGATGAAATCATTTCTTTCGCCTCCAATGTCATTAGTGCTTGCATGTTTTCAGTTACTACAATATTTTTCTATTAACACTACGCTAAAAAAGACTTACGAAAGCGCTTTTTTTGGCCTTTAAAAGCGCTTTCTAAGGTGGCGCTGCTATAGGTTTTAGCAGCGCTTTTTGTTTAATGAAAAGGGCTTTCGTAGGTCTACCTAAGGCAGCGCTTTTTTCTGGATAAGCGCTCTCATAAGTTTTCTTTTAGCAGCGCTTTTTTCTGAAAAAGCGCTGTCTTAGGTAGGTTTTTAGCAACGCTTTTTTCTGGAACAATCAACAAACACTGTTGGGATCTAAAACAAATAGAATCAATGTTTTTTACAAATGAATCTCAATGTATAGAAAATAAATCAAATCTTACAGAACAAATAAAATAAAATCAATACATTATAGAATCGAATCAATTACAAACGATTTCAACCCCTAATTTTCCTAATCACTCTAAATCTAAGCTCTAATCAAACTTGTAACGATGTTTTGCAAAATCTGAAACCTTAAGCCCTATAAATAGCTAAAGAAAAATACAGAAAAGGGGGGAAGATCTGAAGACGGAGCAGAAAAGAAGAAAAAACTTAGAGGAATACGGAGCCTTGCTGTTGAAAAGGAGAAAATATGATTTAGGGTTTCAATATCTGAAACCCTAAATCGCGCCGCCGTCAACCTCCCTTAAACGCATCTCCGAGCCGCTATTACATCACCTTCGAAGGCCATCACCTCCCTTGACCTGCAAATCGAAAAGAAAGAAGAAGATAAGAACCAGAAACATAACATATCAGAACAATCGCGATCAGAGGTAAACGAAACATAGCTTTTTGATTTCTGCGTTTTGATTTCTGCCTCTCAACTCATTCAAAATATCAAACCAACTCCATTTGCAAAGGAAAAATATCTTATAAATTGGAGACACGTTTATGATGTCATCAATATCACAAATGGACCATGGGTTACCTGCAATGATGCATCGATTTACAAATAAAGTTAGCCACAGCTCTCAACCACGTCACTCAAAGTTAACATATTCAGCCTCAAATGTCTCTCATGTTCTGATGCATAACATGTGTGCACATAGCAATCAAAGAAAAACATAATACCTTGGTTTATTCCAGTTAGCCATCTTATTTCGGTTAGCACCTCCATAGTGCAGAGGAGCAGCAACAACCCTACGCGCAACCTCAGTTGCAAGGGGAAATTGGTTTCCCTAGAAATTTGACCTTCTTTTTGCAAGAACTCCCTAAGAACCGCAAGTGAACGAGTTAATATCGGAAATATGTACAAAAATGAAAACATAATATGACTGTGGTGCTTCATACACATACTTGTCTAAGAGAAGATCTCGACTCCATGTACCGGCGCGCCTTAAAAGATCTATCTTGTGCAAAACTGTTTGTAAATTTTTTGCTCTTGTTCTGCATAGACATGAATATGAATCAATCAAGCAAAACAATAACTATGAAGTACCATGAACAAACAAATAAGCAAAGAAATATTCAAAAGCAAAAACACTTACCGAAACCCTAGTTTGCTTTGTTGTAAATTTAGGGTTTTTAGACATTTTGATTATGTCATCTGTGAATAACACCAACATTAAATATATCAAAAACAATAAAAAGGATGTTATACAAAAAGGTTATGATGAATGTGATATAACAAAAAAAAAACATACCTAGTGTCATGTCCATCTTCTTCTCTGTAAGAGCAACAAGCTCGGTGATAAGTGGTTTAGCTACCATCTGAAACAAAAGCATGAACAAATATCAATTAAAAATCAGCAACCATATTCAGCACGAATTGAAGGCAAAAATTGATGTAATATGAAGAATCACGGTGCGTAAAGACTTTATTCTAGGGTTTGAGACGACGAATTCGATGAAACATGAGGGTTTGTAAGATAAGAATAAAGACAGAAAGAGGTAGCGAGAAAGAGATGAATTGAATGAGAGAACTTACGACGGTGGGGAAATCAAACAAACAATCGCGATTAGAGGTTAAGTTTTGAGTTTATAGTCGGGGGAAGGATCGGGTTTGAGCGCCGATGTGGGGTTGGTTTTAGGGTTTGATGTTAGATGATAAAGTAAGAAGGTGGAGTAGAGAGAGAGAGAGAGAACGATAATGGTTAATGAACGAATGAATAAAAATGAAAATATAAAATGTATAAAACTACCTACGAAAGCGCTTTTAAAAGCGCTTTCTAAAAGTCATCTATAACAGCGCTTCTACATCAAAAAGCGCTTTCGTAGCATATCCTATAGCAGCGCTTTTAAAAGCGCTTTCTAAAGGCCAGCTTTAGCAGCGCTTTGGAAAAGCGCTTTCTAAGACTGACCTTTAGCAGCGCTTTTGAAAAACGCTTTCTTAAGGTACCCTCTGAAAGGCCAGCTTTAGCAGCGCTTCCCAAAAAGCGCTTTCTAAGGGCGACCTTTAGAAGCGCTTTTGAAAAGCGCTTTCTTAAGGCACCCTTTGAAAGCGCTTTTTTAAGCGAATTTTTTTTAAAACCTACAGCAGCGCTTTCTTTTATGTGCTGCTAAAACTTATTTTTGGCGTAGTGTAAAACCCTTCCCATTCCATTTTTTTGTTTTCATTTTTTTGTTTTATTTATTCTCTCTCTCTCTCTCTCTCTCTCTCTCTCTCTCTCTCTCTCTCGTCTAAAACCTCTTGCACTTCCCTCATTTTTATATTTATCTCTTTTCTATTCACAACTGCTTTTAAGTTTTTAAAACATTCTCTGAAAGAAAACTCTTATTTATTTCTTTTACTTATCCTCAAATGACTTTTTCTTCTTCAATAAAAACCTTCAAGAGTGATAGAAAAATGCTCACCATCAACGAACATGTTTTTGACTTTGAAGAGTTAAAAGAAATAAGCATTGAGTCCAGAGAACTATTACCAGTAAAAAATGGAGAACTATTTTGACCTGCTTTATGAACCAGTGTTCCATAATCTTGTTAAAGATTACTGGATAAATGCCTCTGTTCACAATCTGGCCGAGGATGATCATGAGATAAAATATGTTGTCATGGGCACTATTATTATCATAAATCCCACACTTATTTCTCAAGCTATTAGTTGTGAAGAAGATGGTGCTAATATTCAGAAATACACGATCAACAGTTCTTTTACCTCCCTTATTCTCGGTCGTCTCACTGAAATTGATGTGAATCTTTCAAAGTGCAACTAGTCTCAAACCTTTGGCCAAGCTATGACACCAGCTGGTTGTCATAAACTTTCTACCAAGGGAACAAGACTCTCGCCAGCTGTCCCTGGATAGAAAACACTTTTTGTACTTATGTTTATCAAAGGTGAAAGTTTATTTTCCTCTTACGATTTTTAACTATCAGAAGTCTAAAACCATGACCTCTTGTGAGGACAAGTTTTTCTTTATTCCTTTTGTAAAATTTCTTATTAAATTTTTTCTTCAAAAAGGGATAGTTAAAAAGGTTCCTAAGGCGGGTCTAATTGAAGATCTTGAAACTTAATGGGGAACGAAATTTGTAGGCCCTCAGAGCAAGGAAAGGCAAAGGAAAAAGAAGGTTTCTTCTGAAGTAAGACCCTCTGAAACTAGTTTTTCCTTTTTTGTCTCCAATATCTCTTCCCAGGTATTTCTCATTTCTTTTTAAACTTCTTGTATTACCTTATCTTAATCAATGATATTTTATTGGATTTTCTTTTATCAATCCATTCGGTTTATGACTCTCAATGTTTGTTACTTTGTCTTTCAATCTATAAAAAGTTAAATATCGTTTTATCTTATTCTTTTTTATTGATGACAAAGGGGGATAAGTGAATATGATTTTGATATATCTTTGTCCCTTAATAAATCCCAAACATATTCTATATTCTTCACTTTATTTTCTGGAGATTTATCAACCAGGAAATCAAATATCTTTTTTATAATAACCAAGCTCTAAAACATTGTTATAATCAGGTGAAAATTATTATCATGATGATTATTTTAGTCTCATTCTCAAGGGAAAGCTTACAAACTTCACTCTGAAGAAACTAAGAATAATTTTGATAGTGTAAAACTCAAAGGGAGCTTACAGACCTAACTCTGATGTTTTATATAATTGAGTATCCAAGTAAAAATTATTTATCAAAATACGCGGATTTATTAACATAAAAAAGGGGGAGATTGTTGGAACAAGTTTGGTTCGACAACTATCCTTAAATTTTGATGATAACAAAGCTCAATATGTATAGAAAACAATTTTGTACTCTAATTATTTTTTTAAGTGCGCATATCAAAGAAAACAGATTTTGACTATGTAGAAGTCAAGTATGGACAAACCAGACCCTGAACAAAGCACATCTGAAGTCTGATCTAAGCAAAATCTGAAGATTGGAAAAATCTTAAGCAAGTAGACTCTGAACCATAGACGCACTTTGAAATATAGAAAGAAACAAAGGCATGTCTAAATGAATTTCAAGCATATGTATTACCAAGTCTATATCTCTACAAGAATGTATTCGTAATTACTTTGATAAAGACTTTGATGTTGCAAGCCTCTGAGGCTTCATGACTCTAAACTCTATAGACTCTGAAGTCTCATTTTCACCAGATTTTTCTATATCCCCAGTGAGGTCTTGCATCATGTTTGTAGTTGTTCATTTGCATTCATAATCATGAGAACTGCATGGCATTTTAGGGCCAAAAATTGGATTTGTTTTATATTTAAGTATCTTCAATTGTGTCAACACGAAGATTTTTTTTAATCTTCGCATCTTCAGATAGAAGACACTTAAATAAGGGCATCTGTTGTACCCCAATTTTTGCCCCTAAGATTCATCTATCATCTTATACTATCACAATGCAACAAGATCACACACTAGGGTTTGGTTCTTCTCCTTATCTTTAGCTTTGCTCATGGGAAATCACCAAGCACCTTGACTTGTATTTTGTGATCATCAATGTTTTGTATTGATTAACTTTTAACTAATAAATACAATGTATGTTTTCCCTAATTATGGATATCATAGGTGAAAGCAACACCTTCTAGCAAGTTGATCTATAGGTTCATGAGTTTATTTTCATGCCTTATTCAACAAAGCTTAATTGATATTTAAGCTTCATTATTGAAGATATTTTGAAGTAATATCATGACAAAGTCTATTATGATTCATCATACCTGAAGTTGTCAAAAATAGTTCAAAGGTACAAGGGTTGATTGAAGAAGTTTGACCTAATTGGACAAGTTCTTGATTCATTGATCACAAGTGTATATTTCCCTCAATTCTCAATATTTCAAAGTGGTTATGGTTGCTATGTGTAATACGGTGGGAAGAACTGGCTGTTTTTTGGAATGCTGGTTTGTGTTTTGCGTTTGTGTTTGCAAAATGTCGCGGTAAGCAAGAGTCGCCACCGACTTTTATTTTATCCAACAAGGAAAGGAAAAAAGCACAGAAAAAAATTCCTTTTTCGAGATATTTCTCGGGTTCGTGGGGTAGATTATAGAAAGGGAAGGTGTTAGCACCCTTTCTATCCGTGGCTATCCATGGGCTCTTAGGTACTTGCTAAATTGTTTTCAAAATTGTTTTCTTTGTGCTTGTGGGTTTGAAAAAGTTTTTGTTTGAAACTTCAATTTAACTCTTGCTTCTGTCCTCAAGAGCGTAATGAAGTGTTTTGAAAACTTGTTTGTAAAAGTGTAAGTGTGAAAGAGTTTCGTTTTGAAAGAGCAAGTATCTAAGAGTTAACCTACCTACTCGAAAAAGGAATCGTTCTATACTAATTTCCTTTAGACAATGCTATCCCACTATTAGTGAGTAGGTAGCACTGTCGTTGGAGTTTGAGAGTCGATTCGAATGAGGGACATGCGGTCACCAAAGCAATGTTAGGATGCCTTAGCGGTAACCCTAATGTCTTAGATCATTTGTTTGAGGCAACAATATCTGAGGCAACCATTTCGAGGCGACTATGATCTTTTAGACAAGAGGGTGACCTCTAAAATGACCTATACTCAATGATCGTGCACAAAGGCAACCAAGTGGGGTGTACCCTAGGAGTGCGCATGTGCGAGTGTGTTGATTTCAGATTATTCATCTTTGCACATGTTTAGGGTGATCTAACTGTTTTAAGTTTAGCCATACATTCTTGTCATGCATCCTAAATCATACATCTAACAGTTAATATTTTGCGGAATTTAAAATGCGGAAATTAAACTAAGCTATTACAAGGCTTCGGGTATTTACATAGCCAAAAACAAACCCTTCAAAATTAAAGCGATAAATGTAGAATAAACGTCCTAATTAAACTATTACATCCCATGAGCAGTTACATTAAATATCGTAAAAAATAAATAAAAGCGGTACAGGTAAATAAACGTCCTAATTAAATTATTACAAACTGTGAGTAGATACAATAATTGGGTAAAATAATAATAAAGTGCGCGATTAAAAATTAGATCGACGAGAAATTAGGGTTTTGACCCTTCTATCCTAATTAAAAAAAGAAAATGTTTTTCTGTTGTTTTTAATATTTTTTAAGAAAAGAAATTAGATTTTTAAATTAAATGCAAAATTGATTGGTTATTAAATTAATTAATAAAAATAATTAAATGACATATTTTTGCGTTTTTGTTATTTTAGGAAAGAAATAAAATAATTAAGTTAGTAATAAAATCTATTTATTCTAATTAATTTTAATTATGTAAAAAGAAATTAAAGTTGTCTAATAATTAATAACCTAATTAAATTAATTACTTTTTTTTAATAAAAATAAATATCTTGAATTTAATTGGATAGAAAAATGTTTTGT